ATTGTATCCTTCCAACTCCACTGTCTGCCTCCACCTCCTTCCCCCCATGTTTTGCTTATGTAGATAGGAGCAGGAAGCGGGTAGAAGCGATACAAGGGTCTGGCCCACATTTTTGTTTGTGTGTGTGGAGAGCTTTCTTTGTCCTGAGATTTGGATCCTAGTTGGTAATTCTGAGTAAGTAGTAAAAGTATTATTCAACAGCCTGTTATATATTTTATGTTATGTATGTAGTCACATTAATTAACTGGGGACTTGATAAGGTGCTAGGAACATTCTCAAATATTTAGGGCTTCTCTCAAGGTATGGTTTATATACCACCTTGATCTGAATCTGCTGGGGAGCACTGGGGAAACAGATCTGAATTCCTGGGATGCATACCCAGAGATCTGGGCTCTCAAGGTTTGAGAAGGAGTCAGGAATCATGATTGTCAACAAATACCCCAGGTTTTACTGATGCATAGTCAAATTGGACAAGCTCTTGTCCTGAGTTCCCTACACATTATTTTGTGTCCTGCCAACACCACTGTGAATTAGATAAGGCTGGTGTTATTCCACTATACTGCTGAGGAAATTGAGATTCAAAAGAGAACCATGATGCCCTGGCCAATGTGGCTCAGTTGGTTGAGCGTGCTCCCATGCTTCGAGAGGGTCGCTGGTTCTATTCCTGGTCAGGGCCCATACTGAGTTGCAGGCTCAATCACTAGTAGGGGGCTTGCAGGAGGCAGTAAATTGATGTTTCTCTTTCTCTCTCTCCCTCCCCTTCCCCTCTCTCTAAAATCAAATAAAAAACATATTAGAGAGAGAGAGAGAAAGAACGAGAGAACCATGGCTTGCCAAATGGCAGAATAATGCTTCACTCGGTGCTAGTGATAATGACTATCAACCTGTCCTATCACTCTGCCACTGACCATAATTTTTAACACAAAGGAAATGTTACTCTATTTATATATCTTTTTTTTCAGATTACCAAAGTAATACATCTTTATTTTAGGAGATCCATAAAAGTATAAACATTAACAAAACAAATATAATTTCACAATTCAGATATAATTTGTTTCTGCATATCATGTTATACCTATTTTTTCAAAATGAAAATAAAGCCATATCTTAATACTCTTTAGTAACATGATTTCTAAAATTAATATATTGGGAATTTCTCCATCCATGGAATATTTTCTTCAACATTATATACAGTGACAATGAGACTTCCATTTTATGGATGTAGAATTTTTTATTTAACCAATCCCCTATTGATAGGTGATTTGATTATTTCAACATTTTACATTACCAATGTTGCTTTAAATGTTAGGCAGTTTAAAAGGAAATTGGAGATTGTATTGCAGCTATCTAGAGAAAATGAAGTCAATTTTAAAGGTCATATTAAATTAAAAGTGTACAGAGCCTGAAGTGATATGGAACATTTCCATAGTCATTAGAAAGATTATTTTATGTTGTTGTTTTTTTAATTTATCATTAATGTTTAAAGTAATACAGATGATGTTGGTTTTTTTTAACAGGAACAAGAGCATTTTGTTTTATTTTAACCTGTTAAGCTGTACCAGTCCCTCCGTGATGATAAACCTACAGTGCCCTACTACACAGGTAAGGAAAAAGAAAAGAAAAGAAAAGCCTCGTTGGTATTGTAAGCAATTTTGACCATTCTTGGATGAAAGAATTCAGAAATTTCATTTGAGTTTTCTGTGTATGTCATGATGAATGTATGGAAAGTGGGAAGACATGAATATGAGCTTATGTTTGTTCATATGCAATCAAAATGAAGCAAGGATTAATCACTTTAGTATTGCCAAAGAACCTTGGTGATTGTCTTGTCCAACCACCTATTTTTAAAAATATATTTTTATTGATTTCAAAGATGAAGGGAGAGAGAGAAAGAGAGAGAGAGAGGAACATAAATGATGAAAAAGAATAATTGAATCATTGATTAGCTGCCTGCTACACACAATTGCAGCTACACACCCAACATTGGGGATGGAGCCTGCAACCCAGGCATGTGCCCTGACTGGGAATTGAACCATTACCTCCTGTTTCACAGGTTGATGCTCAACCACTGAGCTACATCAGCCAGGCCACCTATTTTTACAAATGAACAAACTACAGCCCAGAGAAGTGGAGGTATTTTCCTCCAGATTAGTATTACGAAGAGTAAAGCTAGGAACTGTAAGTAATAAATCTCAGTTTTTCATTGACTTAATGAAATCAAGTTTCTTTTTAGCCATGGAACAGAATAAGACTTAGTGGCCAATGGGGATTCTTCTCTAGGCTTCTTTCATCTGATGGCTCTACCATTCCCTAAGTCCTCAGCATCTGCATCCAGCTGCCAGAAGGAAACAGAGAGGATGAATAAAGCACCCCTGCTCTTAAATGCCTTGGATCAGAAGTATCACACAATGCATTTCTACTCATATGCCATCATCCCATTAGTTTTATATGTTCACATCTGATTCAAGAAGAAAGGATTCAAGCAAGGTAGTTGTGGGCCGAACAGCCTTCTCTGTGCCATGAAACAAGAGGCACACATTTCAATGAGCAGTTAGTTGTGTCTTCATAGTTCAACCCTCTGTCCTCCAGAACATCCATCTTTCCAAGGGAGACAACCAAGAGTCCCATATAGCACTGTCTTTAACCCAAAGTCCAGGATCTATGGGTGATGCAGGTCTCAACACTTAATGCACAATGGGGTTGGGACTAAGAAAATTAGAGTACAAACTCTCATCAGAAAGGAAGGAATGATAAATACACTGGTGCATGGCAGTAGGGAAGAGTCCTTTATTCAACGTGAATTGTGTTCTTTGAGAGGAGCTCCCTAATCCACTGCATCCAATTATCCCTCGCTGGAAGGTTGTTTCCTGTTCATTAGCCTCCAGGCCACACCATTGCCCAGCACTGGAAATATGCTCTCTTGAGGACCATATAGCTTTAAAGCTCTCTTCCTATTGTGCGAGTTTTAGTACCTCAAACATTAACAGTCAAAGGCCTTCTTAGGTTGGCTTGTGTATTTGTTGGCAGTACAACTGCCTCAAGAACTTAGTAGCTACTGATTTCCGTCTTTTTGGCTCCATGTGCCAGTAAACCACACCCAGAGAGAGATCTTTCCTAGAATCTGTTTGTCTATTTGCTTTCTTTCTTTCTTCCTCATCTCTGTCAAAGACTTTTGATATCTTATTTCCTGCTGAAACTGAAACCAACTTGGTATATTGGCATCTTAGTTCTGTGACCACCTCTGCCACAGACCTTGTTTTGCATTAGAGCCACCCACTACCAAGGTCAAATCCTTGATCTTGTCAGTACCGATAATTTCCACCCTTTGTCATAACTACTTCAAACATCCCACAGTCTGATCATGTCAGTCTCTCTAACATTTTAATGATTCTTCTACCTCACCAGGACCTACTAACCACTGATCCTGACCCCTCCAAAGTGTCCTTCAGTTCCCTCATGCTTTCATCTCCCTCTTTACTTGATTACATTCCATGGTCCCTCTTTAAAATAACTCTCTATGGAAACCCTCAATTTCTTTGTCCCCCTCACCTCATTGTACTTCCCTGACAAAACCTCATCCCAGGCTAAATGCAGCTCACACACAAAAGTCCTTTAAATTCAGGATGACTAACCTCAAGTGGGCTCTCATTGCTGTGCCACAACCGCACTATAGACCCCTGTCCATTTGCTAGCCTACTGTGGTAGAAACACTTTCACACCTTTTCCTCTCACCTCCAAGATCTCCTTCCCAATATCCATGGCAGCCTCTGACTTTGCCTCCTATTTAACTGGGAAAGTATAAACATTCAGAAGACAACTTTTTAAAAAAAATATATTTTATTGATTTTTTTACAGAGAGGAAGGGAGAGGGATAGAGAGTTAGAAACATCGATGAGAGAGAAACATCGATCAGCTGCCTCCTGCACACTCCCCACTGGGTATGTGCCGGCAACCAAGGTACATGCCCTTGACCGGAATCGAACCTGGGACCCTTGAGTCCACAGGCCGACGCTGTATCCATTGAGCCAAACCGGTTAGGACCAGAAGACAACTTTTAAAAGCTCCCACACTGACATCCACTTGTGCCTTCAATCTTGTCTCACATACTCAAACACACCACTCTAGAAATTTCCTATTTTTTTCTTTTTATTACCATTTTCCTTCTCTACTAAATCATCCCGATCCTTCTCCAGCAACTTCTCTGTATCTTTGTGCCCCTCCCCCATTTTTTTTGGTAAAACTCTTCAAAAGTATATGCCTAAATCCTTCTCATTCTCATTCAGGCTTTTACTGCTACTCCAATCTCCTCCAATTGATACCATTTACTTCCATATTATTAAACCAGTGGTCTATTCTCAATCCACACTTACTTAATCTAACAGCATTGTTTAATCAATCCCTCTTCCTTAAAATGCTTGCTTAGTTCATTTGGCTTCCAGTGTACAACATTTTCTAATATTTCCTCCCAACTCTCTGGTTACTCCCTATCAGTCTCCTTTGCTGGTTTCTGTTCATCTTTCCAACATCTTCTAAGCATTGAAGTTCCCTCCTCCACCAAACTCATTCTTCTGTGAAATCTACATTTACTCCTCTGGTGGTCTCATCTAGTCTTGTGTTTTCACACCCTCTATATGCTGCCTTCCCTAATTTATATCTCCAAATAAGTCTGCTGCCTTAACTCTAGATCTTTATATCCAGCCACTGAAGCAATGTCTCTACATGGATATTTAGTTGGCATGTCAAATTAACATGTGCAGAACTCAATTCCTAATTTTTTTTCATCCCTACAATTGTTTCTCAACACCAATAATTTTTCCTATTTCAAGTAAGGACATCTCTGAATACCATGAAGTGGAATACTTTTTTATTCCACTTTCTCTCACCCTCATGTTTGAGCTGCCAGCTAATTCCTCTGGTCTCCGTTGAAAATATACCCTGGACCACACTACTTTTCACCACCTCTTCTTTTTTTTCAAGGGTTTCATAATTTTTTTATGGTTCTAGATAAGTTCAGTGACCTCCTGACTGGTCTCTCTGCCTCTATTCTTGCCCCCAAACCCCAACCCCTTACAGTATTTTTTCCACCCAGCAGCCAGTGTGATCCTGTTATAAATATAAATCACATGTCTCTCCTGTGTTCACCCCCAGCCCCACAGCTTCCCAAGTTACTCAGATTAAAAGCCAAAATTCTAACAATGGCCTACAAGACCCTTTACTGGCTGCCTGGCTCTCCGACTGCACAGGCTGTACTCTCCCTCTGATCCCTGCTCTGGGATCCTGGCCATCTGTTGTCTTCAAAGGATCCAGGAAAACGCCTGCCTCAGAGCCTTAGATTTTGCTGCTCTCCCTGCCTACAGTGCTCTGTCTTCAGGTGCCTATGGCTTGACTACTAGTCTTCTTCAAGTCTTTCTTCAAATGTTACCTTTTTAGTGAGGCCTTCCTTGACTACCTATTTAAAATGGGAATCCCACCCAGCAAACTTTCACCTTCCAGCCTCCTTTCTAGTTTTATTTTTTTTCATAGCGTTTATTACTGTCTTTTAACAAACAGTTTTACTTATTTGTTGTTATCTGTCTCCCCCTACTAAAAGGTAAACAGCTTGGGGGCAATAATTTTTATCTGTTTTGTTCATTATTATATCCCCAGTGCCTAGAACAGGCTCAGAATAGGTGATCAGTAAATCTTTGTTGAATGAATGAATGAATGAGGGAATTAATATCTTCCTACTCCCAGTCTAGGCATTTTTCTGTTATAATATACAAATCTATCATTCCAATGATGAAACAAAAAATAAATCCTTGTACATTATGCTTGTTTATAGTTTCATAAATTATTTACTAGATTATTATTTCTTCATAGCTAATGTAGTGGTTTAACCTTCAACGTAACTCTCTCTTTCACTCACCAAATTATAATTTGTATTACAATGCTAAAACCTAAATGAATTGAAGATGTAGTAAGTTACTGATGAAGACTACTACATTCATAGTGCCCCTTTGTGGTTACTCAAAGAATCAGAACTGAATCAGAATATAATTTAACTGCCAATAATTCAGACTTACTTTTAGTCTGCCAGGCAGTAGTTTATCTATTGATCCAAGCCATATTTTTATGTATTTTGTTGTTTGTTAACTGTCAGCATGGTCCAGACATGTTTCAAAAGCATTTGAAGGACAGAGTGTGATCAATTATGATGCTCAGCCTCAATGTGACCTTCATTTTTGGCTAATTACATGTTGATTGCTACAGTACCCTCTTTAAAGTGAACGAATTGGTCTGATAGAAATAGAGAGTAAAGAGCAGTTGCTATATTGTTTTTTAACAGCTCATTTTGTGTCTGGGATGAAATTTGATGTGCTTCTCTTTAACAAACCACTTTTATACCATTTAATTACTCTCTTTTATGTGTTGCATACACAGGACTTTTATCTATGTAAAAGTATACATCGTATGTGTACCTGTTTATAAATATACAAATCATCATGGTCCCAATTCAGTAATTCTTACCATCATTTAAAGCCGGAGAAAGCATTAGTACTTTCAGTATTCACTTTTATAAATCCATTTAAATATATCCACTAGGAAACTAGTTTAGTATTCTTTCAAAGTCATTTAGTAAATTATCAAAGTAAAAATTTCTGTTAGGTGGCTCCTAATATGTTAATAATTTATTCAGTTTAGCTGTAATCAGAGTGAGCTTTTGACATTTGCATTAATATAAACCTTGCTTTCTTCCAAGAAAAAAAGTGAGCATATTAGATGTTGTGAATGTCCTTAAATGGTTCTTCAACTTTTGTAAAGATACTTGTGAAACTTCTGATAATCCCTCTAGAGGTGTATGAGTTTGTGTATGTGATTGTATGTGTGTGTACACATGTGTGTATGAGAGACTGAGAAAGAAAATACATATGGAGATGTGAATATGGAGATGGGTTGTTAAAACTTCTAGAATGAATTAGACTGCTGCTACTACAAAACAATATCAACTATGAGATTTTAGGTGTTCATTTAGTTATCCACCTACTACCTTATCTTTGGGGCCAACACCAAATGGCCTGTGTACAGCAGAAACATGGCCCAAAGCTGAGAAGATGTGAGCTCAGCAGCAGTGTTTCTACCTAACTGCCATTGGAAGGTGAACTAGCATCTGCCAATAAGAATAGTTAGCAAAGTGTACAGTCCGGAGATGGAGCAAGTCACAAGGAGGAACTGAAGGTGAAGGAGAGAATGTGCAAGAATTGACTTCAACTCTCATGACTTAATATGATTTCTTCCTTCCTTCCTTCCTTCCTTCCTTCCTTCCTTCCTTCCTTCCTTCCTCTTTCCTTCCTTTCCTTCCTTTCCTTCCTTTCCTTCCTTTCCTTCCTTTCCTTCCTTTCCTTCCTTTCCTTCCTTTCCTTCCTTTCCTTCCTTTCCTTCCTTTCCTTCCTTTCCTTCCTTTCCTTCCTTTCCTTCCTTTCCTTCCTTTCCTTCCTTTCCTTCCTTTCCTTCCTTTCCTTCCTTTCCTTCCTTTCCTTCCTTTCCTTCCTTTCCTTCCTTTCCTTCCTTTCCTTCCTTTCCTTCCTTTCCTTCCTTTCCTTTCCTTCCTTCCTTTCTTTCTTTCTTCCTTCCTTCCTTCCTTCCTTCCTTCCTTCCTTCCTTCCTTCCTTCCTTCCGTTCTTTTTTACAAAGAAAAACAAAACCAATAGAGTGCATCTTTTGTAATTCTAGTTTCTCTCTGTGGAGTTACTAATTGGATTTCAGTCACTCCACGGTGGCTCTGCAGACTAGCACAGGGATCTGGTTTGGCATTAATAGGTCCCCAAAGTTTATTAACATGAAATAATTGCATCGGTGACCTCTCTGCCCACATGTGACTAGTGTTGCTAAAAGACTATAATAACAATTGATTGTCACGAATAGCCCTCATTTTGTTAGTTTCTAATAGTAACAAAACCTCAATTATGTTTTGAGAATTCAGTGGCACTGATAGTTATTAGTAGCATAAGTTATCAATTTTTGGAGCATTTTTAATCATCATTTTATTCAAATATAGGAAAGGTAGTAAGTTTCTAACCCTGAAAATGTATACACTACACAGGAAAAATTGCCAAAATCTGAATAAGTTTAATGGATTGTTACAATCAATTTCCTGGTGGTGATATTCTACTATAGTTATGCAAATTATTACCCTTGGGCAAAACTGGGTGAAAAGTATGTGGACTCTGTTGTTTCTCAGGGCCGCATGTAGATCTACAATTATCTGAAAATCAAAAGTTAAAAATAAGTCCATCATTGACAGCATCTTATTGTTTTAACAGAATATCAATGGGCAAGGAGTAGAGATTAACAATCAGTATATGAAATTTCATTTTTTACAATATGATTAGAAAGTTAATTTAGTTTCTTATATGGAAAATGGTGCTTGCTCTTAATCATGGTGGGTACTTTAGAAGTCTAACCTTATAGATACATCCTTGGTTTGTTTAGCTTAATTCAGTTCCCACCATTGTGTTCCTTTTCTTCATAGATCTGTGTCTCCAAGTGCCCAGAAAAATTTTTAACCTATTTAGAAATGCAACTTCCATTCAAAAGAGACAAACACTCTTGGGAATATTATAGCCAGTTCTGCAAGTCCCCTATTTTTCATTCTGCAAAGGTATGTATGTTCAAGTTTATAAATTTAGAAAAGAATTTCACTTTTATTTCAATATCAAATGTAGCATGAACATTTGTAACTGGACGAGCTCTCAAATCTAGGAAATGATTACTAAAGGTACCATTCTGTTAAAACATGTGTACATATGCACGTATACATAGAAAAACACACATATCATTTATAGCATATTTTGTAGGCTTGGGGGGTTATGCAAGATATAAATCTGAAAAGTTAGCTTCAACTTTTCCCTGACACCAATAAATTCTCTCTTGGATGGAAGTTTTAGCTGTCAAGAGCTAAGAGTTAATGTCATTGGCAGTTAACATTTTATCAATGCGTTGATGAAGCCCCATGGTTAATTAATAACATGGAGAATTTTACTTCCAACTCCAGTTTCATTATTATTCATTTTTTAAAAATCCCCAAACCCTACCTAGGTTTATGATTTCTAAGGGAATTTGAAAGCTTATTTAGTATTAATGGCTTCCAAATTAGAGAAGATATTGTTTTTCCAGAAGAAAATTTAAGGATTAGAGGCTCAGTATGTGACTCATACATACTTTCTTTTTTAAAAAAAATATTTTTATTGATTTCAGAGAGGAAGGTGAGAGGGAGAGAGATATGGAAACATCAATGATGAGAAAGAGAATCATTGATCGCGGGCCTGCCTCCTGCACATCCCCTACTGAGGATCAAGCCCACAACCCAGGTATGTGCCCTGACCAGGAATTGCACCTTGACTTTCTGGTTCATAGGTCAATGCTGAACCACTGAGCAACACTGGCTGGGCTCTTTTTAATTTTTTTTTTAAGAGTTACATACTTTCAAAGTTGTGCCTTGCTTTCAGAGGATCTGGTTTTATTATTGTTGATTCAATTGAATTTCAGTTAGGGCATTTAAGAGCATTTCTTAACCAAGTATATGAGTGTGATAATCTCACTATTACTTTTATTAGGGGAGTAATTTGGAATAATGAGATTATTATGCAACTGAACTTTTAATGGACAAGAGTTCTATATTAAAAGTAAAAGTTGTCATCACATAGCCTTTGAAATGTTAACATACTCTTCCTTCCATTTTAGTCTCTCTCAGAAATAGTAATGGATGATGAATGTCCAGCAGCGATTTTCCCAAGCAAACCTTGTAAGTGGTTATTATTTTACCATAGAAATACAGAATCTATGAAGAAGTTACTTAACATAACTCCCTCATTTCACAATGGGAGAAAATGAGGTCAGTAATATTACTAAGACTGGCTCAAGACCCCAGAGTTAATTAGGAAGGAAGCTAAAGGTAACGCTAATTCTCCTGACACTAGCCAGGGCTATTTCCACTGGAGTTGTGTGAGTTTGGGGGTTTTGCTGCATAAACATCCACATATAAAAAAGATTAAAATTGATTTTTGAAAGCCCAATCATATTGATTACCTGGTACTCTATGAACACACATAAGCACATACAGAAACAGACACTTACTGAATACTGACCCCTGAATTCAGCCAAAATGTTTGTTCAGAAATTGCTTTGGGAGTGATGCACAGACATATACTTTTCTTTATAATTTGAAATTTGAAATATTTATATGTCTCCTGATTAAATCAACATTTCATATCTTTAAAATTTATAAACTTTATTTAACTCTGTTTAGAAGAATATGAAATAATCACTCATTTTCCTTTCTTATGGATATAATTCTAATTATAGAGAAAAATCATTACATAAAGGTGTTCATCACAATGTTATCCAAAAGGACCCCCTCAAAAAAAATAAAGAAAAAGGAAATATTCTAATGCCCAAGAGTAAGAGAATGCTAATGTGTAAATGAAATACAAAATTCTATATGCATTAGAATGAACAACATGTATAAATTAAAATAAAGAAAAAATAATTCAAAGCAAAAGATTGGAAAGGAATATGCCAACATATTAAGTGGTTTTTTTGGAGGTGGCAAAACACTGGGCATTTTCTGTTTTTTTTTCTCCATTTTTTTACAATGAGTATATGTTTTTTTTAATATGAAAGAAAGTCAATTCATCAGGGTTGAGTAGAAAGTCAGGTAAAAATTGAAGTAGCTACCACGAAACACAATGTCTCATAGGCTCCCATCACTCTTTGCTTGGTCATTAATGACTCAAGCAAAGATATAAATTTCCCAAGCAGCTGCATTTTACCAGGAAGCAAGTGCACATTTTCCCAAACAATTTTATTTTACCTAGGCAGCAAGTATCTGTAGCAAAGAATAGTACAAATTTTTATGCAAAAAGGTAAAAATGAGTCATTAGTCACTGAAGATATAATAGGTATAAAAGTATAAGACATAGTCCCTGCCCTTACAGGTGCAATTTGGTTAAATCTCACAATATAAAATGTACAACGGTGATACATAAATGAATAAGACATAGTTCCTGCCAGTCTAGTGAAGGGGACATTAAGGTAAATATTGCAATCAATGTGTATTCCCCCTAGTATGGGATTAAGTATAATTACTTAATAGAATAGTATACAGCTAATAAAATTCACTCATTAAAGAGTTTATAAAAGGAAATGAGTAACATGAAAAGAAAAAACACACATAATGTATAATTATAACAACAACAAAAAGCCCACAGTCTTGTAGGAGAAAGACTGAAAGGAAAGTTACCGAAAGATATAATTCACTGTGGGTGTATTAATAAACTATGTATAGTTTGGTATCTTCCTTCATATTTTCTCTATTTTCCAAATATGCACTGAGCATATTTAGAATTGAAACTAACAGATTAAATGAGTAGTTGCCTAGAAATAATATTTAGAACAAACCTGGGGGATTCTGTAGGTAGACACAGCTATATTTAAAGAGTGTAAAGGGAAAGAGTGCACAGAAAGAGTGCAGGAGAGAATCCGGACATGTAAGGCAAAGAAGTGACTTTGGAAAGGCAGGGGTGGCCTACCATGTCAGAGACTCAGGAAAGCTAACTCATTCAACAGTAAATATTTACTGAATTACACCATGCACCAAGCGCTGTGCTAGGTAATGGGTTCAAGTAGAATGAAGACTAAAAAATATTTGGAGGTTTTGGGAATTAGGAAGTCTTTGGGATCACTGGGAAGACAATTTCCATGGAGTTGTGGGCACAAGTGTGATTGTGTTAAGAGGGAATAGAAGCAGCTGGTAGGCTACTGTGTCAGCTATGCCAGAGAGTGGGAAGGGGAAAGACAGGGAGGCTAATGAGAATTCAGTGGCACTTGAAGGAATCAACCATATAATATTCTAAGTGCTTCAGAAGGTGGAGGAGGTTAGACAAGAGATTACTTCAGCCAGGAAAGTCAGGAAAGGCTTTATAAGGACATATTTCTTCCTTTTCTGTATCAACTGCTTCGATATGTTCAAGTCTAAACTCTATATGAACCCATGCAAATCTGTGATGCTTTGTTGAGGAGCTTGCCAGGTGAAATCTGAAACCAGCTCCCATGCACAGATGGTAGAGAGAGACTGAAAAAAAGTCAGGTTTAATAAGCAAGGGATCTGTGGGGATGAAGGGATGAGAAGAGATAAACCGAAGAACTTATATACTTACATACATAGCCCATGGGCACGGGCAATAGGGTAGTGAAGTCCTGGGTGGGGGTGTGTGGGTAGGGCCTGGGAAGAGAAGGGTAAAAGTGAGGGAAATGGAAGATATCTGTAATACTATCAACAATAATATATATATATATTACTTAGTAGACTTGTCTTGGGAGACCTCCAGACGAGTAATTTTCTGTACCCACCTGCCAAATATTAGAAGTTTATATAGAGGCCGTAAGGGGGGGTCAGTCACATACCCAATCCAGATACTCTTATCACCATATTCTATTTCTTTTTCGAAGAACTTATATACTTACATACATAGCCCATGGGCACGGGCAATAGGGTAGTGAAGTCCTGGGTGGGGGTGTGTGGGTAGGGCCTGGGAAGAGAAGGGTAAAAGTGAGGGAAATGGAAGATATCTGTAATACTATCAACAATAATATATATATATATTACTTAGTAGACTTGTCTTGGGAGACCTCCAGACGAGTAATTTTCTGTACCCACCTGCCAAATATTAGAAGTTTATATAGAGGCCGTAAGGGGGGGTCAGTCACATACCCAATCCAGATACTCTTATCACCATATTCTATTTCTTTTTCTTTCTTTCTTTCTTTTTTTTTTTAGCATATTACCCTTTTATTATTATAGATATTCTGATGAAATGCTATATGTGTGTCCTTGGGAAGCTTCTAGCTTGGAAAAGGTAAACAGAGAGCACATCCCAAGCACAGGGGAGGAAGTGGAAGCCTCCAGTTGCCCAGGTCCAGCTAATGGTCAAACTGGAGATCATATCTTTTTTATGACCTTCCCTCGTGACCATGACCAGCTCTTACAGTCACATGGTCTCTCCCTTTGCAGTGTGCCCTGAGGAGTCAGCAGGGGGGTTCACTAGCATGGAGGTGGTTCATTTGGTGGCTATCTGGCTGCATTGGAGGCAGACACCACAGCAACAACATAGGCACATGCAAGGTGAAAACAAGGATATCCAAAATCAGTTTTTTTTTTAGCATATTACCCTTTTATTATTATAGATGTTCTGATGAAATGCTATATGTGTGTCCTTGGGAAGCTTCTAGCTTGGAAAAGGTAAACAGAGAGCACATCCCAAGCACAGGGGAGGAAGTGGAAGCCTCCAGTTGCCCAGGTCCAGCTAATGGTCAAACTGGAGATCACATCTTTTTTATGACCTTCCCTCGTGACCGTGACCATGACCAGCTCTTACAGTCACATGGTCTCTCCCTCTGCAGTGTGCCCTGAGGAGTCAACAGGGGGGTTCACTAGCATGGAGGTGGTTCATTTGGTGGCTATCTGGCTGCATTGGAGGCAGACACCACAGCAACAATATAGGCACATGCAAGGTGAAAACAAGGATATCCAAAATCAGTGACAAATTTATTTATTTATTTATTTATTTATTTATTTATTTATATCCAAGAGGATCATGATCTGAACAATGGATTTACTAAATCCCCTAGGCTGGGGGTCAGATTACTCAGGACATTTACTTGTGTCCTCATGTGATTTAATAAAGATGGTATTTTAACACACTTATCAGGTATGGACATGCAACATATAAAATACTAGAGGCCCGGTGCACGAAATTCGTGAGTGGGCACCCCTAAGCTCGGCCTGCACTCTCTCCAGTCAGGGATCCCTCTTGAAGTCCGGAACCACTGGCTCCTAACCACCTCTGCCTGCCTGCCTGATGCCCCTAACTGCTCCCCTGCCAGCCTGATCACCCATAACTGCTCTCCCCTGCCAGTCCAATCTCCCTAACTGCCTAATTGCTCTCCCCTGCCGGCCTAATCTCCCTAACTACTCTCCCCTGCCAGCCTGATTCCCCTAAGTGCTCTCCACTGGCAGCCTAAACCCCCTAACTGCCTAACCGCTCTCCCTTGCCAGCCTGATCCCCCTAACTGCTCCCCCCTGCCAGCCTGATCTCCCTAACTGCCTAACCGCTCTCCCTTGCCGACCTGATCCCCCTAACTGCCTAACTGCTCTCCCCTACTGGCCTGATCCCCCTAACTGCTCTCCCCTCCAGCCTGATCCCCCTTACTGCTCCCCCCTGCCAGCCTGATCTCCCTAACTGCCTAAGTGCTCTCGGCTCCGGACTTCTCCCTTCTCCCTTCTCACGTGGCACTGGTCTTCTCCCTTCTCCCTTTACCCACGGCACTGCCTTCTCCCTTCTGCCTTCTTCTGTGGCGCCTTCTCCTGTGGCCTCTGCAAAAGGGACCGTGGCACTGGACTGGCCCTCACAGCCACTGCGGCTGCTGGCCCTCAGCTCTTGCAGCCACTGTGGCTTTGTTTGGAAGGATGTCTGGAAGAACGTCAGAAGACGTCCGGTCTAATTAGCATATTAATCTTTATATATTTATATCTATACTAATAAAAGGGTAATATGCTAATTAGACTAGGAGACCTGGGAGACCGGACAAGGAGGGCAGTTGGGGTTCATGAGGCTGGCAGGGGAGGGCAGTTGGGGGCGAGAAGGCCATCAGGCAGAGTGGTTAGGGGCAATTAGGTAGGCAGGCAGGTGAGCGGTTAGGAGCCAGTGGTCCCGGATTGCGAGTGGGATATCCCACTGCCGGTTTAGGCCCGATCCCATAGTCAGATATCCCCTGAGGGGTCCTGGATTTCAAGATGGTAAAGGCCAGGCTGAGGGCCGCCCCTCTGCCATGCACAAATTTCATGCACTGGGCCTCTAGTATGTTATATTTTTTATATATTTGGCAGGTGAGTACAAAAATCTACTCTCCTTGCAGCTGCCCAAAACAAGCCTCGTGAATCCCCTTGCCAACTAAACCTGCCACCTACAGTCTGGAGTCTTCTGACTTTTCTTCATTCTCTCCTTGCCCTCCTCATCTGGGGGCTCCTTTTGGATTTACACCCGGGAAGCCCCCAGCCAGGCTTATGAGCCAACATGCTTCTTATAAGAAAAAATATGAAAAGTATCCATTTTTAAATTTCTTTTCCCACTTCATTTAAAATTGGGATTTAAACATATTTTTAGCAATAAAGATTTGTAAAGGGGCAAGGATTCTATTTAATCAAAATAATCATATAGGAGGTTGAACAATGAGTTAATAACTCTTCCCAGAAACTGTGCTAATAATGGTCAAACCAGAGGTCACTTTTGTAGTGAGTCATTTTTGTTAGCTTCAGTGTTTCCATTTCCAGCCCCTCAAGAAAAACCATGTAAATGAGAAAGGTAGAAAATTATTGAAGCTTTACAAATTAAAATATAGTTGTCTTAGTAATACTGAAAGTTTGAGCTGGTTTTTATTTTCCAAGAAATTATTCACTAATCTCTAATTTTCAAGGTTTCACTCAAGGAGTGTCTAAGTTGGTGATTTTTGTTTTTTTAAATAACAAAACTAAACTCATTGAGTCATAGAAGTAAATATAGCCTTTTAAAAACTGTTTACATGAGAGCTACAGTATCAGAGTTCCTTTTAAAACCTGTGCTGTGTATCTTACTTGATGAATGTACCACGTATAAAATAATCAAGTTTAGAATGTAGCTTCAGATTGTCATCATATTTGCTTTCCATGTGTCTTATAACAATCAGACAATTTTCTGATCATAAAATAATGGGAAATTATAATTGCTCAGTAGCAATTATACATTGTCTAGCAAGAACTTGGTTATAAATAACAGAAAACTTAACAAAGGGAGGACATCATGTAGGAGGTAGAAAAGTGATTACCATAATTTTCATTTATTTTTACAGTTCTCCGGAGGTGTTTCCCTGACTTCTCTACTAAAAATGGCACGTTAACAGTAGGAAATAAGACCACATTCGAAGATGGGAAAGGGCATATAAGAAATGCTGTAGAACTCAGGGCAGCTGCAAAGTATGCTTGTTTCTATTCCCATTTTCATTTTTGATGCTTCCCATTTTTGTACCCAAAACTAAAGCTTCCATTAGGTTAACAGTCTAATACAGGAAGAATTATGTATTATGAAATATACATGTCACTGTGGATTGGAGAGCTTGGTCTGTGTTCATTAAGAAAAGCATCTAAAGGAGAAACCAGAAGAATTAGAAAGAACAATCATGATTTTCAAAATGGGTAAATCTTTCATTATCAACAGGTATAGAAAGGAGACATCAGAAAATGTACCAAAAGATCATCATATAACTTGCTTTTTAAGTGAACATAATTTTAGAAAATCCATGCTTTTAAAAGTATCATTTAAAGAAATATGACTGAAATAATAAAGCTACCAAATGTTTTTAAGGGATGGGGCCTTAAGAAAGGTGAGACAGCCTGACAATGCTGTTTCAATACTGTCTCAAATGTCTGCATACTAACTACAATGAACTGAATTTACTGTTTCCATTGGCTGCACACATCACAGTACTCCACCTTGGAAAATATAATTCCCAGGGTGCACACACACACGTGTTCACAAATGTACACACACAGAGTATCATTGCATTTCTCAGTTGCTGAATGAAAAATAAAGGTATTCTAAAATTTAATTTCTTTCTTAAAGGACTTTTAGCATTCCTAATAGAATAGTACAGTATCTGCATGTTGAGAATATAATAGCAACATGGACAAATTTCGCAAATAGAAAGCTTTGTGGAATAATACAAGTACAATTCCATTAATAAAAGAAAATTCAAAAACAAGTACCAGTAAATTAAATTACCCTGTGATGCATATATAAGCGGTAAAATTAAAAAGAAAAGTAGGAAATTATTATCACAAAAATCAGGATTGTGGTTATTTTAGGCAGAGAGGGGAACCTTTTTTTCTGCCAGGGGCCATTTGGATTTTTATAACATCATTTGCGGGCCATACAAAATTATCAACTTAAAACTTAGCCTGCTATATTTGGTCAAACATTTAATTAACTCGCCCCTAATGCCTTGGCAGGGCCAGATCAAATGATTTGCGGGACTTACATGGACCGTGGGCCCGACGTTCCCCACCCCTGCTTTAGGGAAAGGGGAAAGGTATTGTAATTGGGGTACAATGGAAAAGGGATGATATAATTGTAGTTACTTACATGTGTTCACTTTGATCATTCATCAAACTGGACACTAATGTATGGCGGGGTCTCTCTTTTCCACGTCCAGCGCGGAAAGAGAGTGGTCTGGTTATTTGAGTAGAGACGGCTGAGGATTTGAGAAATATGAAAGAAAGAGACAAGACAGAAAGATGGAAGAAAAAGCTGGGACTGGGTGGGACCGCTGTCCTCTTCTGATGGAGAGACAGAGACAGGGACAGGGACCCAGCACCAGAACCACGCGTTTATTTTATACCGCAATACCAGGAAGCAACGTCAGTTCTGGGCGAGTCCTACTCATTCCTGGTGCTTGGCTGGATTTACATAATAAAACCCACTCCCCAACACCTGGGCAAAGATGAAAGTCAAGCTGAGAACTCTTCTGCCTTTTTGGTAAGATGTGTATCCAGGGCATGGCTCTGCCTGTTGCCCTGAATTCAACTGACAATTATTAGAGAAAATGCCCATGTGCCTTCCCAGGGGCCCTCTACACTAATGATTTGTGCACTTTTCTGTATGTGCCGATTGTTACGGAGCTCTTGGAGTTTTAGGTGAGTTAAGATGATGGTTATTCTTGACTCTGTGGATCTTGTAAGTTAAAAGCTGATCTTTACATTTAAATTTATTTCACATAGTGAGGCTTCTGCAATATTAGGCATGTCACATATGTTAAAAGGACCTGTTCACCATATTTGAAAGCCATGACTCTCTGTGTATAGATACAGCCGCCTTTGTAGGTTTACCAAAGAGACATCTCATGAACTGTTGTGTCTAGGAGTCACTACTGATAAATGGTTTCTAAAAATATGCTCTGAACAGCAGCTTGCAAAATTCCTTTTATCATAATAAGAATATTGATTTTTTTCCCTTCTTTGAATTCAGAAATATCAATAAAGTCCTCGATGCAAAGGCAATTGGAGTGAAAGTGTTTGAAGACTATGCAACAAGTTGGTATTGGATTCTCATGTAAGTAAAAACATAGATGTTTTTTCCACGGCCCGATTCTGATTTTATCTTGGTAAAACTCTTTTTTCAAATTCCCAATATATTCGTGAATTCAAGGTTGACTCAGACCTCAGTTCCTGCCATTTTGTTCTTTCTTATAGAATAAAATTAGGACAAAGATATTTGGAAATATGCCCAGTGTTAAGAGGAAATTATAAGGGTATAAAGTTTAATTATATTCATTAAGATACATATACTTTAAGTTACATGGGGGCAGCATCTGATACGTTGGCTTCTCATCACATGTTATGGTGGATGCAGTGTTATTTCTCTGACCTACTTTGTCACTTGTCCTTTCTTGACTTCCAAGGGATCATTCTTATTTCTTAACACATCCCTTCCACATAATGTTTGTTATCATCATCCACAAAGGTCACTGTACTTATGAGGAGCTGAAAAACATATGAAGAGATGAAGAAATTCAAAATTTTTAGACATAAGATTTGCAGTCCTGAAAATGCAGTCCCACTATTGGAGTGGTACATGTGTTTAATGTAGCTAAGGACATTGTGTCACCTTCTAGCTGTTTTGTCACCTTCTTGTGTCTTAAAAGCATCTATGGTTGCCTACTGATCAAAGAATAAAGTGAAAACTTCTTTAGATACTTACAAGGCCATTTGCAACCTAGTCCAACTTAATTTCCCAGGTTCATCTCCACCCAGGTTTTTTGATTAACCCTATAGTCTAAACACATTAAATAGCATTCCTAGACTGCCAAACTCCCATGTTTTTGCACATTCTGTTCTCTTTCCTAGCATTATCTTTCTTGATGCCCTAGCCCATGGTCGGCAAACTGCAACTCTCAAGCCACATGCGGCTCTTTGGCCCCTTGAGTGTGGCTCTTCCACAAAATACCACTTGCGGGCACGCGTACAGTGCAATTGAAACTTTGTGGCCCATGCGCAGAAGTCGGTTTTTGGTCTGGGCAAGTCTATTTTGAAGAAGTACTGTTGATATTTGGCTCTGTTGACTAATGAGTTTGCCGACCACTGCTAGGCAACTTTATCTCATTATTTTAAATCAGCTTTTATGTCACTTACGAAGTCTTACTTGACTTCTGCAGATATATTTACTTCACTTCCTGTGTTCTTTATAACCATTGTGTGTGTGTGTCTACATACCTAAATACACACACACATGCATACCTATCTTATATATAGTACCTACCATTTTGTGTTTTATTTACTTGGCTCTTTCCCTCTGATAAACTGTGAACTGTTTACCATGGTAATTATGTCTAACTCATCTTTGTTTTCCTAACTCCTATTATGGTTCTTGGAACATAGAAGGTGCATTGAAAATGTCAGTTCAAGCAACATTTATAAAAATGCTAAGGGAACAACATAGATATATTTAACTATAATGTGCTTACTAAAGTCAAATTGTATTGTGTATAAAATACTAGTAATTTTAGATCTGTAAAACTAATTTTCTGAGATTTTACTCATTTCAATGCTTTGCGTTAAACAATTGCAGTAATTATTGTCAGAGCGTATTATGATTTCAGGATATATCTCCATAGCAGAGATTATAGTCTATAATTGATAGTAGTTAAACTGCTTCACCTGTCGTCAGGCCCAAATATCACTAGATGATGTCCATATTTCTTTTTTCACTCTTGTCTGGAAGGTATACATTCCGATAGACTCTCTTGCCCACCTCACTCCCGGCACACACACTGGAACCCTCTTCCTACCCTGGCCCCACTCATACCAGTAAAGCGTAAACACCTCCCTTTAGTTTCAGCTCTTCTGCTCTCATCTGTTTAATGACTATAAAGCCAAAGAGTGATACGCTGTGACTTAATTTATTCACTTAGAATTTTTATACAGGAATTTAAAATACACAGAATAAACATCTGTGTTTCTTTCCCCTCTCCTCCCAGCCTTTTTGAATATTCCTCTTGGACTATGCCACAGAATAATTTTTCAATTGAATAGAAGCATTAAAGTATCTGTAATTTTTAAAAGGAAATGGCTTCAGAAGTTAAAAGCATAGGGAACATTCTGCAAGACTAGGACCTGGGAAGCTACTCTGAGACCATGCTGTTGTCTGTGCAGTAACGTAATTATTATTAAGATTTTGTTTGTGAAGATAACACTTGTAGGTAATAAAGTCAATGCACCAGGCTCTGCCTGTTGCTATGTTTAGAAACTTGCTGATAGCACCAGAAATATTAGTTCTTAATAGAAGCATCAGCCAAATTTCTCATCTTAATGAGTTACCTTTTATGAAATTAACCTGGGTATATTGGGGGCCAAGAAGTATCTCTACTAGCTCACTCAAACTCCAGGGAGAAATTAAAACAGAAGGAAACTAGTCATGCCACTGGTTGCTTGATACCATCACATGGCCTAGGTGACCTACAAGCCTGTAGATGGCTCCCACTAGTGGCCTCCAGATCACTGGGGACCTGAACTAGATGTCTGTGATGTCAGATATTACATACTCTTAGACTTAATAGACCATAGAGAAAATGACTACAAAATTATGAGTTCAGGATCTGTGCAGGGCAGTTAGTTTTACTGTCTTTCTGTCCTAAGACTCTTTCCTGACTACTAGACAGTTATATTGCATAAGGTTTCTATAAGGTATCCAGGTAGATAGAACAGCACAGTGGGTAGGTGTGAAGAAAAAAAAATAGAACATGGCAACTGTGGCAGATAGGCCAAATTGTAGGTTGGAGGAATTGTGTTTTTCCATCAACAATGATTGATACCAAGCTTGAGTTTACCTAGGCACAGGAAGATGAGTCATGTATAAATTCATGATGGTCCCACTCTTTCATACAAAGTCTTACCAGAAACCATTGTTTGTGCTTTTAAACGTTACAAATGTTTCTATAGCTAGGTAAAATAAAATGATCAGAGAATTATTTTGAATAGAATAAAAGTGTTTTCTTGCTATTTTCATTATGTCATCGTTAGCACACTTGGCCCTGTGATTGTGTTGTGTTTTTTCCGCTAGTGGCCTGACAATCGCCATGCTCCTCAGTTGGCTGTTTCTACTACTCCTGAGGTTCATAGCTGGATTCCTCTTCTGGATCTTCGTATTGGGTGTGCTTGGAATTATAGGCTATGGTAGGTATCACCCCTCATAAGGTCACCAAATATCAAAATTACCTTTTTCTTTCCAGTTGCCATTATCAATTGCCAAAAAGTATTTTCTTGCAGTGAATTTTTTTTATCCTTTGCTTCCCTCAAAAGTGTTAAATTGAGAAATATTACTTAAGTTTGTATATATTTTCTCTATAACCTTTTTCTTCTTTATTTTTTTAATTCTTTATTGTTTAAAGTATTACATATAGTATTACACATGTCTCCTTTTTCCCCCATTGACCTCTCCTCAGCCACCCGCACCCCTCAGCACATGCCCTCACCCCCCTAGTGTCTGTGTCCATTGGTTATGCTTATGTGCATGCATACAAGTCCTTTGGTTGATCTTCTTACGTTACCCCCTACCCCCTTCCCCACCGCCTTTCCTCTGAAGTTTAACGGTCTGTTTAATGCTTCTGTCTCTGGATCTATTTTGTTAATCAATTTATGTTGTTCATTATATTCCACAAATGTGAGTGAGATCATGTGATATTTTCTTTCTCCAACTGCCTTATTTCACTTAGCAAAATGCTTTCCATGTCCATCCATTATGTTTTGAATGGTAAGAGTTCCTTCTTTTTTACCGCAGCATAGTATTCCATTGTGTAGATGTACCACAGTTTTCTAATCCACTCATCTGCTAATGGGCACTTAGGCTGTTTCCAAATCTTAGCTATGGTGAATTGTGCTGCTATGAACATAGGGGTGCATATGTCCTTTCTGATTTCTTGGGATACAGTGGGATTACTGGGTCAAACGGGAGTTCCATTTATAATTTTTTGAGGAAACTCCATACTGTTTTCCACAGTGGCTGCACCAGTCTGCATTCCCACCAGCAGTGCACGAGGATTCCTTTTTCTTCACATCTTCGCCCGCATTCTTCTTTATCTTGAAAAAAAAAAGTGTTTTTAACATGTTCTATCTCTTTATCACTAGCAGCCTTTGGTGTCATGTCTCATGGGTATTAAGAAGGAAATAAAAAGATCCCTCTTAGGTTAATGAAAAACATTTCAGACAACTTATTTTATTCCTTTAATTTTTCTATTTGATCAAAGGCCACATCCTCATAGTTACAGAAGTGTGATCTAGTTTTCCCTTTCAATTTAGTACCTTTAATCCAGGCACTGTCACACATTTTAATAATTGGCCAGCACACCATCATGAGGCATCACTCTCTAGAGCAGTGGTTCTCAACCTTCTGGCCTTTTAAATACAGTTCCTCATGTTGTGACCCAACCATAAAATTATTGTTGTTGCTACTTCATAACTGTAATGTTGCTACTATTACGAATCGTAATGTACATATCTGATATGCAGGATGGTCTTAGGCGACCCCTGTGAAAGGGTCGTTTGACCACCAAAGCGGTCGCGACCCACAGCTTGAGAACCACTGCTCTAGAGGCAGGTATTCTGAATTACACTTATTAGATAGAGAGTTAACTTTATTTCAAGGTTGAAATCTAACCACTGACTCAACCCCTCCAAAAGCAGTACAATGTGACATTAAAAAATAAGTGTCAAAGTCTCTCCCAAGGAATAGTATGACACTCATGACAGCTTCCTTTCAGTCCTCTAATAAAGCATGGGCCAATATATGAATGCTTGGGAGGTTTCTATTCAAAAGAAAAATTTCCCCTACAACACCATTTGGATTGAAAAGCAGTTTATGGTAGCAGACACCAAAATAACAATTTCCTGTTTCTGTCACTCAAAGAAGAGTTTTACACATATCAGTATAAGGAAGCAGTTGAACCTTAGGACCCAGCAATTCCACTTCTGGATATTTATCTGAAGAAATCCAAAACACTAATTTGAAAAGATATATGCATCCCTATGTTCATTAAAGCATTATTTACAATAATATGGAAGCAACCTAAATGGCTATTAACAGATGATTGGATAAATAAGATGTGATACATGTATACAATGGGATATTACTTGGCCATAAAAAAGAATGAAATTTTACTATTTGTGACAACATGGATGGACATAGAGGGTATTACACTAGGTGAAATAAATCAGACAGAGAAAGACAAATGCCATATAATTTCACTTATATGTGGAATCTAAAGAACAAAATAAGCAAACAAACAAAACAGAAACAGACTCATAGTTATGGAAAACCAATGGTTGAGGTGGAAGGTTGGGGAGCTTTGTGAAGAAGGTGGAGAGTTAATATATACAAATTGGTAGTTACAGAACAGTCATGGGGATATAAAGTACAACACAGGGAATATAGTAAATAATATTATAATAACTATGTATGGTACCAAGTGGGTACTACACTTAGGGGGATCACTTTGTAAATTTTATAAATATCTTAACCACTATGCTGTAGACTGGAAACTAATCCTAATATATAAAGAGCCAGGGTCTGTAACGTTCAAAATGACTGAACAGACAACCGAACACCAGGCTGCACGCGCAGCAGGCTCAGGTGGGCGGGGACTGGCAAGCGGGCTGAACTGCTGACCTCTTGGTTCCTCCTGGGTTGCGGGTGCTGCGGTGACCCAGCACTGACTGCCGCTGCCAAGGCAGGTGCGATGTGATTGGTTGGGGGGCCCCCACCATCGCCTCACGATCGATCGCCCTGCAGAGGGAGGCCCAGGCTACCCTACTGGCGGCAGTGGGTGGGGCCTCCCTCTGTGAGGCAATCAATCACGGGGCTCCTGGACTGCGAGAGGGCACAGGGCAGGCTGAAGGACCCCCCACCCCCCACCCCCGCCGAGTGCATGAATTTTGTGCACCGGGCCTCTAGTATAAAATAATATTGAATGTTAACTGTAATTGAAAAAGAAGAATGCTGTAGAATCCCCAGGTCCAGTAGGTAGCCTGAGTTCTAATCCCAGATCCATATGTATAACTGGGGAACTCTGGAAAAGTTTCTTAATGATTATAAGACCCAGTTTCCTTATCCATACCATCGTTGCAATGATATCTCCATTTCACAAGATTGTGAGGACTAAATGAGACAATGAGTATAAAGTTCTCAGAACAGTGCCTGGCACACAGTAAGCACTCTACTGCTACTATCCTCTTCTTTATCCTCAGTGAGGTTCTAATCATTTGAGTCTCTTTGGGTGTTCCCTATCTGCTCCTGCTGTGCAGATGCCCTGCTGTCCCTTCATCAGAAACTCCCCAGAAAGCCTTTTGTTTAAAAGCCCTTTTTTGTGTTTCTGCTTGGAGCTCAAAGTAACCTCTGCTCTTTGCCAACATAGAGTCTGAGCATGTGATTCAATCACCCTTTTATTATCATCAGGAAGTGAAGGCCAGTAAAGTTTGCTATTGATTTCACTGACTTGTCTTAACAAGCAAGAAAAATCTGAAATTGGCTAGAGTCCTAGTTTGGCAATGACAAAAGGGAGAAAGATGGTCAATATATAAAAAGTGCAGGTAAAACAACCAATTTTAGCTCTCTATTGACTCCCTAGGTAGTGCTAACCCAGCAATTAATGGTGTTGCAAGTAAGCTTGAAGCTATTCATTGGGTGGAGAAATGTCCAACTAGATTGGGAAGTGTAAGTAAGACAGTATGTAACTGACATCTGTTACTATCTCGGTAAATCAACTGTCAATATATCATGGTAAACCAACCATTTCCTACTGACAGCAGCTTATTTTGCTGGGATGGAGAACAATGTGGATGTGTCATACTGACCAGAGAAAAAGCCAGGCTATTTCTGGGCAAGTGCCCATGAATAGCAGAGGAACAATTCTCATTGGCCAGAACAAATTAAGAATTACACAGGAGAGGCCATATAACAACATTATTATAAGCACTGATTTGGAGATTGAAAAAGGCACAATTCCAGATTCATTACGTGTTAACTATGTGACCTCTGCAAGTACATAGTCTCTCTAATTTTTAGTTTTTGCATCTATATAATAGGAATCTGTATTAAATAAAATAGTGTACATAAAGTACTTAGAAAACTGCCTAGCACATAGCAATTATTCAATAAATAATATTGGTTGTTGTTACTGTGCATGAATATTATTGAGGAAGGAGGGAGGATTAAAGCCCAGGGGGTCATACCTTGAGAGAGAGAGAGATAGAGAGATAGAGATGGAAATAGCTAGAGAGAGAGAGAGAGAGAGAGAGAGAGAGAGAGAGAGTAAAGCAATAAAGCTATAGAAAAAGAAATAGGAAAACACTGCCGAGACTCACATCCACCATTATGAAGGAACTAAATAGTTTAAAGGTCTCTCTTGCTATGAAATAATGGCATAAAAATCATATTATACTAGAGGCCCAGTGCACAAAATTTATGCATGGGGGGAGGGGTACCCTCAGCCCAGCCTGCACCCTCTCCAATCTGGGACCCCTTGGGGTATGTCCGACTGCTGGTGTAGGCTTGATCCCCGGTATAGGGCCTAAACCAGCAGTCAGACATCCCTCTCATAATCCAGGACTGCTGACTCCTACTGCTCACCTGCCTGCCTGCCAGATCACCACTAACTGCAC